TGGACACAGTGCGACTATCTGGCTTTCAATGTGATGGTGTAATCTGGAATTTGTCATCTGGCTGTTGCTATTTTCCTTGCACTAGACTAAAAGTAGCCCCAAATACAGGCGATTGCATGTGAGCCATCGCGTCATCCATCGCCTGCTGAGCTTCTGCCAGAGTGTCATCCCGTCCGTGGGAATAAGGGAGAGGTAGTGGGCCAAGTGAGAGTTGTATTCTATTTGTAATATTAGTACTAAATTACTACTAAATAGTACTAATATTTAGTATATTTTATTTATTTCCCCCCCCCTTCGCCTTAGGAAAGTTGCACCCTAAAATTTGTTCTACAACGTGCCTTGTTTTCGGGTTAAGACGGTAAGTGTGACCCTTATTGCCACTAGGACGGCTGTCCTAGCCCGGAGTTCGTCGAACTTGGTGTGGATCGACCCCATCTGGTCATTAAGGCCTAAGATCACTGTGATCATAGCGTTTTCTTTCTCTTAAAAATATCCCTGCTGCCAATGTCTCCAACTTTCTTGCCAACATCTCTTTGTGTGCCTGTTCCCTATTTTCTAATTCTTCCTCCAAGTTTGCCACTCTTAAGTTCATTGTCGAGTTCTGTCTAGAAGTGCTGCTGCAGACATGGTTATACTACTTCCTGCCAACTGGCCACACCCGACTGACTGCTTCTTGAGGGTGACGTCATTGCTGACGTACCTGCTTGGACCTGTCTTCTAATTACATGCTGGCCACCTTCAGGGAGGCTTTGAAACACGTACGATCTTCCAGCAGTATGGCTCCTAAATACTATTATATCGTCAGCCTGTTCTGTCCTGTCACGCATAGACTTTAGAAACAGCTACTCTCAGCTCCGACCTTTTACTGTTCAGTAGCCGATTGCGTGTGTGACGACAATATCTACCCTCGAATACTTAGACCAGTTTCACCAGTACTGATGTACGTACATCCAAGTCCCTGGCAAATACGATGCCGTCAAATTAGCTCCTCCAGTATTTTGTATATTGTTGGTCAAGACATACACAATGTCTGTCCTACAGCTAAAAAGACAATAGTAAATACTAACGAAAGGAAAACATGACAATGAGGTGGTTGGCAAATACATGCTGTCGGAATCCACCCCCATAAATGTTTACCAACTTCCACTTCCACCCCCTTAACTGCCAGCTAATAGTTATGTGTGAGAGCAGTCTCTTACAAGAAACGGTCCCACCCCAGTGCACAGACAGCTTAGCGTGGGTGGCCAGAACCCATCGGGAGTTCTTTATAGTCCCAAACAGGACAACTCAGCCACTCTGCCAAGTGCCCTATTAGTGAAAACTGAAGCTGATATTTCTGCACATCCGAGTTTGATCTAGTCCCACATCATGTGCTTCTTGCGCACTCACAACTCACAATAAGAGGACTCCCAAGTGAAACACTCTTCCTCACCGTAAGAAGAATAATGGAGGGTAGTTAGGGTTAGGCAGACTTACTTGATGCTGCTGGCCCCAACCATAGATTATCTCACCATCTTTCAATGCTTTTTGATGACTGGTCATGTTCAGGAACCACTGACATCACAATGCAAGTACCGCCTCATGCAAGGGCAAGCACCAATATACGCTCACTGCAATGCCACAGAATTCACACTTCTACCGCACCTGCGCTCTCTACCCGGCACAGGAGATCACTAACCAGCCGGCGAGAAAGTCAACAACATTGCCCATGGCACCATGAGCCCTGACAGCCAACTTTAGGTTGCGCTGGTCAGGGAACCACAATTTGATGCCACAATGCAAGAAACCAATCAATGGGAACAAAACTTTGCCGAGATGCAAGAGACTCAAAGCAGGACAAGCATATATTTGCAAATTCAAAAGCAGAATTACAAAGCTGAGAGCACACCTAACGAGAACACAATAGCGCTGAAGTCAGTTGATAAAAAAGCCCAACTTCTCACCCTCATCCATCAATACAACCACAATGTAGCAAGTCTTCAATGATATGATCGCCCAGATTACTCTCCTGCTCCCTCTCTATACACAGCCTACTTTTCTCCCTCAAATTATCTCTTTCTGTCCACTCTCCTCTCGCCTAGAAATGCTGCAGAGTCTGATAACCACGAGTGTGCTGCTCGGCCATCACCGGGTAAGTCCGCCTATTCCCACCGCTGTCCATCTCCCTGATCACCCCGGCCCCAGCGCCACCTCACTTCCACCCAGTGCAGCTATGGATGCAGCTGGCAGAGCAGCTACCCCTGGCTGCTGCTCCCCCTTCCTCTTCGAGGAGCGGTGGCCCGGTGGTGTGCACTCTTCACAGAGCTAGCTCTGGCAATGTGTGAAATGCTGCAGGCTCCTCCCTTTTGTCACTTTCTGGAGGCCATGGCTGCCTGGACTAGGACTGGGCTCTTCCCAAGCTGAGAACTTTCCGAACTGAGTTCCAGGGGCCCAGCTTTTCCAAATAATCAAGAGGCTGGGCCTTTTTTTTTTTTTTTTTTTTTTTTTTTTTTTTACMCCCGGGGTGGTGCTAGCTGTGCTGGTAAGAGCAGACACCGCTAGCACTCCCAGGGGGGTAAGCGTGCACCTGCTGGAAATCGGGTCCAGCGTCCCTGAACATTATAATGGCTTTCAGAACAGTATACTCCTGCCAGCAGTGATTGCCCGAGACACTTGTAATGGACAGGTTGCGGGGCGCCTCTTCAGTCTGCACTAGACCGCCAGATCACTCGTCTCTCCTTTAGCAGCTACTTCCTGTTCCTCAGGCTGGATTCCCGGTGTTGCCCAATCAGTCAGCACCGTACCATTGCATATCCACCATCGCCAGCTGGTGGGGCGGGAAGGGGTCGGGGAAGTCTGTGGCAGGTCGCAGCGGGATCTCCTGGCCCATAGTAGTCCAGTCTCTGAAACGGATGCAGTAGTCTCTCCTGAATTCCTCCTGGTTGCCCTCCTGGGCGGCCTTGCCCTCCCATCTAACAAATGCGATCCAGCCCCCATTCTCACTACCCAACCAGTCCCCAGAGTATTGGTGAATTGCTTGTGTAATCATTGTAATGTCCTTTGCTGAATGATATAAGTCAAGTTGGATTTGCATTTTTTGCCAGTGTACCATGATTTCTTGTTGAATGTATTGCCTTATCATGTCTGTTGCCTCTTCCCCAGTTATGCGGACCCCCTCCATTACATGTATACAGCGTTTCCTCCAGAGGGTCCACATGACCGCTCTCCTTCCTAACTTGAACACGTTGTTTTCAAAGGTATTGTCAGAGGGGGAGGACCATGCCTCGCATAATATGGCCCGCCAATCCCATGGCCAGTGAGATTGAGTGCCCAACTGGGTCCAGATCCTGTCCCACCATCGCCATGTGAGCACTGCCCCTGGGCACTGCATGGATATGTGCTCTATGGTTTCAGGGATTCTGCGGGAGGGGAAGGCGGTGTGACACGACTTGCACCATGGTAGTGCCTGCCCCTTTTGCTCCAGGTATGTCCGATCTATCAGCCAGTCATTGGTGGGCAGGCAGCGGTGTTCTATCTGCCATTGAAGAGAGGCCAGCTTCGCAGGTCTAGACCTTGTGGCAGTGAACCATCAGATCGGGCGGATTGCCTCAGTTCCTACCTTCAAGTGTGACCCCCATCGAGCCTTCACTGCATCTTTTATGTTCACTTTTGGTCGGAGCAGACGGTAGGTGGCCTTCACTGATAAAGAGGCTGGGCCTACCGGTGAGTTGGACAGGCTGCAGCCAGCCTTCACTCAGGGCTAGTGGATTCTTCTTCTGTCGCAGCCTTCACTTAGGGTTGGGCCTAGTTTTCGGGAGGCCTGCCGATACCTGAAGCCTCGAACAGTGGACCATGGTAGCGCTTTCAGTCTTTTTTTCTGGATAAGAAGTTTATCTCTGGTGTATTTATTTTTTAGCTTTAACTTCCATCTGAGAACTGGGAACACATTGAATGGCAGAACCCGTTGGCGGTTCCCTTCACTTGCAACGTTCACAGACAGGAAGGCCATATTACAGTTGCAGTAGCTGAAAAGTAACATGAAACAAGGATTCATGGAAACCACAACCTCTGCATTTCTGCAGGTTCTGCAGGTATAGGGCATTATATATTGTAAGAAATGACAAGCAACCGGGAAGCAAGGAGAGTTCGCAATGTCTTGGCATATTTGTGCAAGCAAGGAAGGAAGGTAGATGTACTCTTTGACTAACCTGCATCTTCGGAGTGAAGACAACAAACTTCGGATCCAGACCTGCCTCCACAGGATGTGCACGGAGGACAGACAGGCAGTACGAATGGAAAGTGCCTGCACGCACCCTGTCAATCGCTGCAACATCGGTTGCCAACTGTGAAGCCTGCAATTGTGGAAGCCCCATGGCCATGGATGCAGCCGCGGATGCAGATTCCAGTAACCTCCGTCGCAGATCCTGACCTGCTCTCCGTGTAAACTGAGCCAAAAAGAAAGAGAGAGAAAATTGGAACCTGTTAATCAACTTGCATTGAGTTTCACATTCGTCAATTCCCTTCCTTGAAGATCTCTCACGTTCAGAAAGGAAGACCATCCTGTCCATCCATAAGCCGGAACGCACGTCGGATGTCCACAACCAATACTTTACAAAAGACGATCTGACAAAACATGGGAAAACATCATGTACGATGAACTTGCATGTATGCCTATGACAAAAACTGCCCAATCAGCTAAGCTAGCAGAAAACTTTGTGCATTTTAAAGCTACGCAGTGTGGAGACACTGCAGCTGAAGATAACAGGAAGATATCCAGAGTTCCACTTGTTCAAAAAGCAAGAGTCCTAGTACCCTCAAAGTGTGTCAATAAGTGGTATTCACACTAAATTTTCCGACTGACTTTGAACATGAAAACAGTCGGATTCACCTCGGAAAGTCTGAGTATGAGTAATCCCGATGTCGCCCAGCTAGGCAGAGGTGCATGGTTCATTGCAAGACTCCCGAGCGTCGAACTGGCAAGGAGACCCACTTAGCTTCAACTCAACCAGTGAAGAGAATAAAGGTACCCAGCTACCCTCCAATTCAACTCTCCCCAATGTACTCAGACATACGAACCGTCAACCTTAAACCCTAAGCCCTCAACCATAAATCTACCAAGTCAACTCACTTGCAGGAACACAAGCACCATGACTGGACGGAGGGCCAGTAGGCCCTCAAGTGGAAAGGGCTGGGCAACACACAATAAACAAAAGGCCGAGGCCGCGTAAGGGGAAACAACCAGGCCCTCCCAACTAAGTGGTAGGGCCAAAGCCAGTCCAGAAATATCCAGAAAGCAGCCAGTGAAGATCGGTCTTAACACATCCACGCCGCCACCTGAAGTAGTTAAGGGAGGCCAAGGCACCCAGAGTCATTCAGTCTGGATGTCTGCCGACCACGAGGCTGCTGGAGGAGAGCTGTGCTAAGCAGTGACAGCCACTGGAGAGCACCACCCAGACATAACTGGCTGTACAGAGACACAGACAGAGACAGAGGCAGAGACAGAGACAGAGACAGAGACAGAGACAGAGACAGAGACAGAGATCGGCAGCAGAGCGGGAGGTCGCTGAGAAGCAGGAGAGTCCTATGGAGACTGGTGGAGGCTTACCTGATTGGCCTTCAGCATGGATGATAGGAAATCCATGCACACACATTCTTTGACTGGACTCAGCAGGAAGGAGCATTCTGTTGACCAGGATTGACTGACAGGGGAATGTGAATACAATTGGCCAGTGTAGAATCGTACTAGGGAAAATCTGGTGACATTGGCTGCTCGATGGAGGAAGGGACCGCCCTTGGAGATGGGCTTCATCTTGTGCTGTTGTTGATGGGACGACAGAAGGGGGAACTTTTTTCTTTTAACCAAAAGGGCTCTTTCCTTGAAGCTGGAAACTGGGTCCAGCATCCCTTACAATCATGACACACTTGCGAGGCTCAAGGCCTCGATCTGCCCTACTGGGCCCTATTTTCTGTACAGTCGGCCGCCCTAAGTTAAGGCAGGCTCGGCCCAGGGCCTACAGGCCTATTTTGGGGTCACCACGCAACTGGGGAAATTCAGGCAGTTGCGCAGCGACAGTTGGTTGGAAGCGCCCAGGCCCAGGCTGCCTTTCATTGTATGTAACTGAGGCAGGCCCTGGGCCGGATACACAACGTGGACCGAACAAAGGCTGAGGGCAGTTGGGTGCTGCTAACCACCACAGGCCCTGGGCCTGTTTACCTCGGACTGAGGCTCAGCCTCGTGGGGCCTACCGGAAGATTCTGAGCCAGGGCCCAGTACCGCATTACCACACGCAGCAGCAAGCCACTTCGATATAGGGAGGGGCCTGCCTACGCATTCGGCATTCGGACACTGGCTGCATGCTGCGCAAGCGCTGCTGCACTAACACTGGCCAGCGCTCACGTGCTCATGGGCGAGCTGGAAGGAGCAGGCAGCCATACCCGAGCTGCGCTGCTGTATGCTGGATGGGGCACATGGTGGTCCTTGGGTGCATGTGGCATCTGTGAGTTGGGGATCGAGGTTGTGAGTGATACGAGAGAGATACCTGGTGCTTGAGGCGAACGGCATTGGCCAAGATCTGCTCGTACTTCGGGGAGCTGTTGACTTCATCAGCAGCATTGTAGATAGGCTAGATAGGATCTGCCATTTGTAGTCTGGGCGCCTAGCGCCAGATAGGATATCGACATTGGTTCTTCGTTGATGATGATGAGACTATTCCAGCATTGTCAATTATGAGCTTTTGCTGTGCTCTTATTTGGTGGAACTCGTGATGCAATTCTGCTATCGAGGTCACGACTATTTGGTCTCATGTGTATGATGCTGTTTGATTTCTGAAGTTCGCCATCACTCATTTTCCTTGCAATTTGGTATCGGAGCTGTGGTACGGTGCGCTCATCTGGCGCTTGTCTTCTGCCTTTGCGGTACATGCACGCGGTCTGCTGGGAGAGCGGCCATGGGAGGTGTGTAGTGAGGAGGGTGGAGACAAGTGTGGCGACCCAGGAGGTGAGGGGTATCGCCAGGAAGGCTACTAAGTGGTGAATATTGGGTGTTCGCAGTGTGATGAGAACTATCCGATGAGTGATTGATGCTGAGGTGGAACGGTGGTGCAATGCTGGTTGTGCCGAAGCAGCGATTGGTCACCACAATCAACACCGGGTCATCTGGTGAGAATATCTGTGGTTGGGGGCAGCTATTTTGAGGTATGTTGCATCTAACCTTATCTACCCTCTTCAACACTTCTTACCGTGAGGATGTGTGTTCTGTCTTGAGAGTCCTCTCATGCGAGGAGTCGTGTACGCTCAACCTTGAGAGTCGGCAGTCTTCACGTGGAGCATCAGGAAGGAGAGGGAGCTGCTATCTGAAGGGCCCTGGACGAAGCACTGGGTCACGGTCACCATGCCAACCCACCGGGAGTAGAGCACGCATGCTTTGCTGCTTTGAACTTTGTCTGCTCACAGCGCTATAGAGGGGTTCTGAGGGGCAGGCCAGCTCTATGGGAAAGACGAGACCGGACGTCTATAAATAAGTACCAGCAGGGACCTTCCATTGGCTGTGATCGTCGTCCTGTTTGCGACGTTAAATAATTCCTGAGGAGTTCGGGGGCCGTCCATAAAAATGCCTCCTGATCAGCCAATCGGTCGGTGTAAGGCTCGCTGCACGCGAGGATAAAGACTGTGCAGGGCTGGCCATCTCAGCAGGGCTCGGGCCACAGGGGTGGGCCGTGTGCACACCTTTAGACACGCATGCTGTTCTGAATTGCTCAGGGACGTAGACAACAGAAGACATTCAGGAAGAACTGAGGAAGGGGTAGATTCCAGGTGATAAGTTCGGGTAAGATTCCATTCTGCAAACAGACCCAACAAATGATTCTATTTTTATTTTGATTAGTTAGATGTACAGCCATTAACATCTGACAGACATCATAGTTAGAACTGTTTTCTGTTCATTGTGCTCTCTGTTTGCAAACTAGTCAGAGTCAAAGTAGTTTCGTTTGCAGGAATCTGAACTTACCTGTTGGACCCAAATGTATCTACTCTGACGCAGCCACCGATTAATTATTTTAATTATTATAAATCAGTCCGTGCACTACACTGCGGCAGGCATCAAAGAGTGACCTAATGCAGATTGTGTACAGCTCTGTAGCTTATAAGCGATAGGGATACCACTAGTGAGGACGACCGGATCTTGCGATCGGCAAGACGCCCGATTGCCCAAGTGGCATTAGGACCCGAGGGTGATAGGTTACTGTTCCGCCAGCAAAGGGAGAGGCAGCAGCAGCGGCGAAGAGCTAGGGCAGCAGAGGCCAGCAGGGCGTTCGCAAGTGAAGCCGCAGCTTCAGCAGCCATGGCAACTGCTGCACAGCAGAGTTCCCAGGCCAGCAGTTCAGGAACCGTAGGGTCAACGGTCCCGTAGACCCTTAGTCAGTCAACTCGCGTCATGGCAAGCCAGCCAATAGTGTTGACAGTGTTGACTTCCGATGAGATCGCCATACAGCAGGCAGCACTGCAGGACGCACAGCTACAGAAGGCTTTAGGAGAGATAAAGGTTGAGAAGGAAATAATGATTAGAAGAAGAGCTAGGATGCAGCAGAGACAAGCGGACGTCAGTGAGTTAGAGGGAATGGACATGACGCAGATGGATGCAGATTTGAGGACGTTGCGGACAGCCCTGCTAGATGTTGTAGAGATGCAGGACCACCACACGGCTCTCCTTCAGGACATCCAGCAGAGTCTGACCTTGCTGGTCGGGCGAGCGCAGGCAGCACCATCGCTGTCCGGGCCCGGTGCCTAGCCCGTTGTACAACCTCCTCCTTATGTCTCACCGGTGACTCGGGTATCCCCATATGTCTCCCCAGCATCGGTCCGAACCGTTTCCCTGGATATGCCATTAGCAGGAGGGTTCTCAGCAGGTCCTAGTGTACAGGTTCCTGTACAGACAGTGTTCTCCCAGCCTCCCTCACAGGCTGCCGTAATCGGGCAGCCTGCACAGCCGCAGGGTACACAGCCCCAGCAGCAGCTGGTGCAGCAGCCTGGTCCCCAAGGTCCACAGCCTGGAGTGGGACAGGTGCTGGGACAAAATCAGTGGGTTCCAAAGACGGCCATCGCTGCTCCTAAACCCTTCACATGGGACAAGAGGGGCGAAGACCTCGACACATGGTTGAGGTCAGTGCCAGTCTACGTGAAGTGTAAACTTACCTTGCCACACGAGGAAGTGCTTGTGGCTGCCTCCTATTTAGAGGGGAGTGCAGCAAGATGGTTGAGTGGTTTAGTGCAGTTGCAGGGATACGGTCATGACTTCCGCGCTTGGGGAGTCAGCCAGAAGTTGGATGACTTCCTTAAGTTGGTGGAAGACGGGTGGCATGATCCTCAGGAGGCTCAAAAGGTCACTGACGCGATCCTGACTCTGCATAACAGGCAGTTTAAGTCAGTAAGAGAGGCCATAGACGCAGTAGAGCGTCTGATCTGTGTCCCTGGGGTGCGCTATGATCCCCAGGTTTTACTCACCTCCTACTTGAGATGCTTTCCTATTCCTCTCAGGAATCAGTTGGCAGGTGAGGCCAGCATCAACATGCACAACTTGCCCTCGTTTAGCAAGAAGGCCCTAGACCTTGAAGCAAAGATAGGGCATGGTCAGACACCCACAACGGATGGTAGGGAAAAGTCACTGCCCCCCAACTGGAAGGCGAAGGGCCGCATTATGTTCATCGACAATGATGGTTCTACCATCGAGCTGGATGACGACTTCCAGGCAGGAGCGGGTTCAGAGGCAGGCGGCGTAGAGGCTTCAGGGGGTAGAGTAGTCGCTGCCTCAGTTCAGAAAGGTAAGGCGACCGGTAGGCGTCGTGGAGGTTCCCGGTCTAGGAGTCAAGTAGACCCCAATGCTCCTCCATGGGAGAAAGCAGGTCTCACAGAAGACGTGTGGAGAGACAAGTACACCAGGCAGGCCTGTATTCGTTGTGGTCAATATGACCATAACCAATTCAAGTGCCGCAACAAGAAGGTGACTGAGAAGATCCCGCCTACGATGGGGCAGGCGTTGGGATCCTCTGCTCTCGTTGGTAGCAATGTAGCCAGCAGTTTTGGCAGTGCTCTGGGAAACACGCCGGGCCAGTAGGAATGGTAGTTGTTCCTGCTAGGGTCGAGGTGGTGGACACACCCTCACCATCTCGAGAGATGGCCCAAGCTACTGACTCCATCGTCGTCCCTCAAACACATTCAGACCCATTGAGCCTCTGTTCGATGAATGTGTTAGATTCCTTAGAGGAGTTAGAGGAGGAGTGGTCTAGATCAGACCCGCTAGCTTATTGAACGGCACTGGCAAAAGCCCCTAAGGGTGAGATGTTTGTCAGCGAGGTAGTCATCGGCGGCCGCAACGCCGGGGCCTATTATGACACTTGCTCGACACGAAACTTTATCAGTCGCGCGTGCATTGAGAGGCTGCGCTTACAAGGGCAAGTGCAACGCCTGAGTCGACATGTGGAGTCGACCTGTGCCAACAAACAACGCATGGTAGTCAACGACTACCTTCATGACATTGAGTGTCTTTTCCCATACGCGGGAGGGGAACTGAGACATCGCGTCTCGTTCCTAGTCAGTGACGATCTCCCAATGGACATTTTGTTGGGTATGTACTATCTTTCGGTTGCACTGCCCCAGATTGATTGGGACCGAAAAGTAGTCAAGCACATTTTGCCAGGTGGGGGGACCGCCAGATTACGTAAGTTTAAGGCTAGTAGTTTGATCGAGTCGTACGGATGCATGTGTGCGGCCGCGTTCTACAATTACTATAAGAAAAATTCGGAGGAGGGTATGTATCTAGTATATGTCTCTGCAGCAGGCGAGCCGGTGAAAATGTCGCTGGAGATAGAGGGAGTAGTTGCTAAATACCCTGATCTATTTGAAGAGTCGAAAGGGGTTGTTGAGAGGGAGGTTGTCCACGCAATAGAGATTATCCCAGGGTCTAGCATCCCGAAGGGTAGGATCTATCAGATGTCTCCAGCGAGCTTGATGAGCTTCGCCGGTAACTCAAGGATGTCGTAGAGAAGGGTTGGATCCGGCCGAGTGTCTCCCCTTGTGGATCTCCAGTCCTATTCGTACCAAAGAAGGGGGGAACTCTGAGGATGTGCATTGACTATAGGGGCCTCAATGCCATCACTGTCAAGAACCAAGAGCCCCTACCTCGCATCGATGACTTGCAAGATAGAGTGCAAGGGTGCCGGTACTTCAGTAAAATAGATCTGAAATCCGGGTACCATCAGATTGCAATTCGGCCCGAGGATGAACACAAAACCGCATTTCAGACCAGGTACGGTCTGTACGAGTTTGTGGTGATGCCTTTCGGCCTTTGCAATGCTCCTGGCACCTTTCAGCACGCTATGAATCGGATCTTTCATGACTACTTGGATAAGTTTGCCATCGTGTACCTCGATGACATACTTACTTTTAGTAGGGACTGTAGAGGAGCATGTTGCACACATAAAGTCCTTAAGTCTCCTTCGGCGCACAAGTTCAAGATCAACGGGGAGAAATGTGAGTTTGGTCGCACCCGGATCTTGTACTTGGGTCATGAGATTTCCGCGGAGGGTTTGAAGCCCGATGACGCGAAGGTGGGCAGCATTCGTGACTGGCCGCGTCCTCAGTCTATGACTGAGATGAGGTCTTTCTTAGGGATGACCGGCTACTACCGTAACTTTGTTAAGAATTAGAGTATAGTGGCCGCCCCTTTGACTAACCTGACTCGCCTTGACACCCCATGGGAGTGGACAGACAAGTGCGAGGTTGCTTTCAGACATCTGAAGCATGCGTTGACGCATCATGAGGTCTTGAAACCTCCTGATCCGGACAAGCCGTTCATAGTAACTACGGATGCCAACCAATATGGCATTGGTGTCGTGCTAGCGCAGCAGGAGGGGCCAAAGTTGAGGCCAATCGAGTACATGTCCAAAAAGATGCCGTCTCAGAAGTTGGCTAAGTCCACCTATGAGAAGGAGCTCTATGCGATTTACAAGGCACTGACCCATTGGAAACATTACCTCCTTGGGAGGTTCTTCATCGTCAGGACTGATCATCAGACCCTGAAATGGATGAGAACACAGCCAGTGCTCTCGGATGCATTGAAACGATGGATCGAAGTCATTGAACAATACGACTTCGAACCCTAGTATCTCAAGGGGGAGTACAATAAAGTTGTTGATGCCTTATCGCGTAGGCCTGATTTCTCTGGTGTGCTGATCACTGAGTTCGGGCTTGCAGACGATGTCACTCGCTCTTTGGTGGAGGCCTATCGCAAGGACCAGTTTATGTCCGAGATCATACGCTGACTCGAGGCGAAGGACAAGGTGACTTCTTCCGAGTTTGAACTGGTCAACGGTTTGCTGTTCCTTGAGAAGGCAGGGAATAAACGTCTGTGTGTGCCAGATAGGGGCACGGATCCTCGATGAGCACGATGGAGAGAACACGATGAGCACCAATGGAGAGAACACGATGAGCACCAATGGAGAGAACACGATGAGCACCAACGGAGAGAACACGATGAGCACCAATGGAGAGAACACGATGAGCACCAATGGACAGAGCACGAATCGAAGCACGGATCGACGGATCAATGGTGAGCACGAATCCAAGCACGGCACCCAAGTCCCCGTCGAGCAGCAAAGGAGAGCACAGTGTGTGTGTGTGTGTGTGTGTGTGTGTGTGAGAGGGAGAGAGAGAGAGAGAGAGAGAACAATGAGCACCAAGGAGAGCACCAAAGAGCGAAGACGATGAGCAGCAATGAAGACAAAGCACGGATCCAAAGCACAGATCCAAAGCACGGATCCAAAGCACGGATCCAAGCACGGATGAGCACCGGCCAGCAAATCGAATCACGATGAGCACCAAATCGAACTAAAGCACGCTGAGCACCGAGCACCCTCCCCGTCGAGCAGCAAAGGAGAGCACAGTGTGTGTGTGTGTGTGAGAGAGAGAGAGAGAGAGAGCAATGAGCACCAAGGAGAGCACCAAAGAGCGAAGACGATGAGCAGAAATGAAGACAAAGCACGGATCCAAGCACGGATCCAACCACGGATGAGCACCGGCCAGCAAATCGAAGCACGATGAGCACCAAATCGAACCAAAGCACAATGACACCGAGCACCAAATCGAACCACGATGAGCACCGAGCACCAAATCGAACCACGATGAGCACCGAGCACCCTCCCCGTCGAGCAGCAAAGGAGAGCACA